AACCTAGAAGTGATGGCCTCCAACCTCGAAGTGATGGCCTCCAACCTCGAAGTGATGGTCTCCACCTAGAAGTGACGGCCTCCAACCTCGAAGTGATGGCCTCCAACCTAGAAGTGATGGCCAGTGATGGCGAAGCAATAGCCTCCAACCTAGAAGCAATGGCCTCCAACCTAGAAGTCATGGCCTCCAACCTAGAAGTGATGGCCTCGAACCTAGAAGTGATGGCCTCTAACCTCGAAGTGATGGCCTCCAACCTAGAAGTGATGGCCTCCAACCTAATTATAGAGAGAGGGGCCTGACAAGATCTGATAAGAAGATTGGTTCTTGCACAAAGTCACTTTTGGAGGATGGATTATTGGCCTGTCTCAAATGTTAATTGCACTATTCCACCGTTTCCCTTCAAAGCTGCTTCCGCGAAAGCGCCGAAGTTCCCCCGACAGCCGACCGCCAGCTCGGCCTATTTTCCGGCAGCGTGAGGCGCCCGAAGAGGCGCCAGCGGCCGTTGGGTTCGAAGACGAAACCCAAGAGTTGATTGTCACCTAGCTGCGTCTCTTTGGACAATTCGGCCCGAATCGATGTGTATTGTATTGAATATAATATTATATATATTTATAATACGGTACCCCCCAGCGGCCCTGCAGACGCACCGTTTAGTGAATGTTGGTGAAATTTGCAGTGTGTTCTGTATCTTGAAATTCTACTTCCAGACACAAATTTCTTGTAATCTGGTACTTGGATAATTTTGGAGACCACAAACCTTGCAAGGCCTTGCAAGGTTTGCGGGCAGTAAGACTACCAAAAAAGGCTCTGCAAGATGTCGATTTGTGTCCAGCAAAATCCCAGAATTGAGGTAGTAAGGTTGTAAGATAACAAGATGTTGGAAAATGTCTTAGTCTTAGTCTCAAAAGACTGGAATGAAGAAGTGTCTCGATCAAGTTTCACAGACTGGACACAATAAATGTTCCACAATTCCCAGTATCTTACTACCTTACGTCCTGGAATCATGCTGGACACTAAGAAGTTTTCCAGGATGTTATTATCATATATTATCTTACTACCTTGCTGACAAACCTTGCAAGACCTCGCAAGGTGTATGGTCTCCAAAAATTATCTCATGCAATACTGATCGTCTGCTACCGCCAAGTACCAAATACTTGTCGTCTGCTACCGCAGCTTTGTTGCTACAAGCTCTACACTCTCTTTGTCTGTTCCTTGTTCGCTGCTGGACATGTGGTTTGCGGTGAATGGTTTGGTGCAGCTGTCGCATGGAGAGATCATCCGCATGCTTCATCAAGTTTGTCTCCACCGGAATGGGAAGAAGCTATCTGCCCCAGGTGTTCGCGGGGAACTCTTTCGAAGTTCTCTTCTCTTTCTCGCTCTAAACAACACCCCGCATTCCTCTACGCATTGTTGCCTGCACATCAACCATAAAATCATATAACATCATTGATGACATGGAGCTCGCTGACCATGCCGTGTGAGGAAGTGGTTGATGTGGAAGGTGAGGAGGTGCTATGATCCAATTCGACTTGCTGGCTCTTCGTGGCGACCGATCTGGAAGCTGATGAGACCACTTTCGACAAAACGGACTTGAGTGGTCCAAATCATTCGGATGGTTCCAAGCCCGGGAAGCATGGGAACAATGGTGCCGCCATCCCGCACATAGACGTCGCGCCAAGGGCTAGCGACGGTGCGTGGAGTTGGCACGACAAGGTCGTCCACCAGAAACGAGCCAAACTGACACAGCCCCCACCTGGCAAAGCTACGCAGTCCCCAACCCTCCCGAGAGGGATTATGTCAGTTGGGAGTGCAACAGCAGGCAGTTGGCCAACACAAAAGTACGACACCAGGACCATCCAGTGCTCAAGTTCGATGTGTCTTTTCCGGCGCGGCATGTTGGGTGTCCGGACGCACAGCGATGGCATCAATATGATCTGGGTCCTGTGAGTGAGACCGGCGGGATGACTTGAGGACTCGAACGACTTGGGAAGTTCCCACAGAAAGAATTAGATAGAATTAGCTAGGCATGGAAAAACACCTAATGCATGGCATGGGGGCTTACAAGGTAGGCATGTCACATGTATCTTTTTGAAACTACCCCCAATGCCTCAACATGCCTCCACTAGTCTTGGGTGCTTCACTGCAATCGGCAGTCCTTGACAAGCTCCCACGGGATCTTCCTTGTAAGGCACCCCATCTATAAATATATCGTGTGTGTGTGTGTCTGCAAAGCATCGCCTAAAAATTGTTTGCACCTGGGCCACCCTCGCACTAGTTGGCAGCATGAGACTCCAGCGGTGTTGTCCCGCAACCCCAGATCGCTCAGCTGCGCTTTGCGCTACTTGGAGTAGGGAGACAGCCCTCCCTGAAGGGTTTTAGGCTATGATAGACTAGGTGTCCCTTGACCAATCGGGCTTGGGCAGGGGTCCCCTGGTCCCCCTATTTCAAAAAATGTTGGACGTTGATTAGTAATAGGGCCCTCTATAATGCTAAATTTTGGAAAAATATTTCTTGACACCCTGTTTGTTTAAGGGTCCTCTATTATGCTAATTTTTTGGGTGATCCTAATTTGTTATTATCTACAAATTATTTAGGGTCCTTTAGGAAAATAGAGATGTTATATAATTCGTAATACTACTAAGCCAATGGTTGGCTTTCTGAGAGTATTGATAAGTATAGATTTCCATAGTTCTTCTTCAAAACTGACAGCTTCCCAAAACCATCAATTCCCTAATCAACCCTTTATGAAAAGATTGTTCCTAAACAAATTTTCAAGATAGTAGAACAGGAAGGCCCGTGATCCTCAATAATGAATTTGTTTCAAGGGTCCTCAATTGTGCGATGCTTTTTCCAGAAGAAAATTAAAAATAACAATTCTTAACACTACTAAGCCAATGGTTGGTTTTCTGAGAGTATTGATAAGTATAGGTGTCCATAGTTCTTCTTCAAA